TCTTCAAGCAACTTAAAGAAGTCCAGACGCTTTTCTTTACAAGCTCCTTTGACTACGATGACCTGGATGACTGAGAACCTTCACAGACATTTCTGCCAACCGCTCTAGATACAGAGTCTGTCTGCATTCAAAGTAAAAAAGCTGCACCTTTCAAAATGCGTTGGCTGCTGTGGGACAGCAAAACCTTTATTTTGAAGGGAAATGTTCTCCATTTCAGAATATTTCAAGTTTTCAAGTTGGGGAATCCACATTTTTCCCTAGCAACCAGAGGTTTCCAGGGGGATCACTGACTGGTCTCTATGACTGAAGCCTTACTGAATTCAACCAACAAGCGGTTAAGATTCATCTGAACCGCAGTGCTCAATGATGGACCAAACAAGTTATTTCTAAAGGCACATAATCACTATAGTCACTGGAGTCTTATTTTTCTGGAGTGGCTTGAGTTAAACATTTGGTTTGGTGAGAGTGAACTCCATTTCTGAGCACTGCTGTTTAGATTAGGGAAGTAGGAAAATCTGACCCTCGAGTCAATCAGCAGTATAGACCTGTACATTGAACCCCCAGTGAAAAGCAGCCTGTTGGCTACAGTGCGCATGTATAATCTCACAGAAGTAAAAATAGACTGCAGTGCGTCTCGTACGTCCATCCACCTGTAAGTGATGTCAACCCTGAAAAATTCCCCTCTTTCAAACACATCGCTTTCAATTGATTGAGCTGCTTTCAAACTCAGAGGATTACTGAATAAACGCACCCCGCAGCCCTTATAAGGAGCCACTGCTGTGGCTGACACGTTTTAGAGAAAATCAAATATGTCTCGGTTAAATAACTCGATGAAGTGTGGACGTTAGATCAAAAACTCCATCTTTAATGTTCAGTTATTGACCAAGACAGACGAAATGATCACTCCAGATTAGCCAAGCCTCTCCATCCCCTCCAGATGAAAACTATTTAGTGACTAGAGAAGGAAGGCATTCTTAAAGCAGAGCAGCAACAGCGAGCTGGAAAGAATTATCTTCCAGTACAGTATTACTCTCCAGTAAGAGGACAGTGTTTCTCCTTCTCTAAGGGTCTCACCAACTAAATATGCATACATTTGCACTTAATCACTTCAAAGGTCCAAACAAGGACAGCATAAATCTAAAATGCTACTTGAAGGCTGCTATCTGTGCAGCACATGGGGCTCCATATCTAAAAGGAAAGAGGACCGTGTGGAGATTGTGCTTCAGGAGAATTACTGCATCCTTTGCTTTGTCAGCCTTCCCTGTCTTGGTTTTGCATTAGTCCTCACTTTTCAGTCACAAGGCAGGAGCAGTTGTGTTATTTCTGAACATAAAACAGGTGTTAGCCCTCTCCCTAGGAACTGCCACATCATCGAGCCAACTTATTACACGCAAAGACACGAACAGACAGGCATTAACCCGCTGTTTTGAATTTGTAACTCAATTCAAGCGTCCATGACAGATCGTGCAAATTTGAGACCTTTGTTGAGCAATCGAGAATCTTTCCAGACCTGACGTTTCTTTATAAATGCCACCTTTGTTTGGCCATTTCAACAATTAGCTCACAAGCACATCTTGGATTTCACTATTTACTGGTTATTTCAATGGTTTCATTTGACTGACCTGGACCTTAACATTCCTCCCTGACAAGACCAACCGAGAACAATGTTTACCTTCATCTATCTTCACCTAACACCCATCTCACAG